GGCCGGTCCACCGTCCCTCAGACCATGTGGTGGGCTGAACTGTATTTTGAAGAAAAAAAAAAAAGAACGAATTCCTACGCCCACAAATAACCCAGAGATGCATTTTAAATCGAAGCACACATTCTACTCATGTAAAAACACGCTGATTCCCGGACGGTCCGTGGGCCGGATTGAGAAGGCGATTGGGCTGCATCCGGCCCCTGGGCCTTAGGTTGCCTACCGCTGTGCTAGATAGAAGTGAAGTTGATAATGCTTTTGTTGCAGGAAGATAAGCCTTATAGTTACCCAATTTGCTGAGCTGTTGTACTAATTAGTGCTGTAGAAGATGTCAGAAACAGGAGTTCAGAACTACACCCCCCCTTTACAAATTTCAAGCATATTGTGATCTGGGTCAAAAAAAATTAAATTTGGCCCAGCTTGTAAGCTGTGTCCATTCTTCCAAGTTTCCTCTTCCATTTACTCAAAATTTATCACCCGTCTGCATTGATGAGAAGGGGGAGACAGATAAGAAATGATTTTAGGCTTTCATTTGGTCCTGAAGCAGAGTTGAGTGTCATGCTTTAATGTCACACAGGTGAGGAAATCTGGAGAGACATCAGGTGGCGGTTGAGAAGGGGAAGGTTTCATTCGGAAGAAGACACAAAGATCTCTATCAGTAGTTCAGTTGTACTTCGGGTTATATACGCTTCAGGTTACATACTCCGCTAACCCAGAAATAGTACCTCGGGTTAAGAACTTTGCTTCAGGATGAGAACAGAAATCGTGCTCTGGCGGCGCGGCAGCAGCGGGAGGCCCCGTTAGCTAAAGTGGTGCTTCAGGTTAAGAACAGTTTCAGGTTAAGAACGGACCTCCGGAACGAATTAAGTTCTTAACCCGAGGTACCACTGTACTAATTCTGCCTAATTCATGGCTAATTTTATGTCCCCATCAGAACACTTAGATAGGAATTTCAGGCGTTAGTGAGTTTGGGCATTTTAGTACAATGCATTCATTCTTACTGGCAATATTTGGGGTGTCTAGCATCTTATTCACAGGCAGCTGCTAGTTATTTTGGATGCATTTTTAAGTCCATTTTTGTCTTTGCTTTTCTTAGCAATAGGTACCGAAATAATTTAAGGATCTGTTTGATCAAAGCTGGAAATGTGTTCTATTAGTGTTTATTTTTAGATTACTCCTTTTCAGTACCTTTAGATCACAGTCCACTGAAATGCAGTTTTTTATTTTAAAAGAAACCATGGACAATAATTCTTTTTCTGACTGTAGCTGTTGTAATAGGTATAACAAAAGCTTTGATAGCATATTCTTCCAACAGTACTGCCTATTTTACATTTTTGCAGTGATGTACTACCACGCTTAAAGCATTACAATATTTTCTCTCTCCAAATAATAACTCAAATTCTTTTCTCAAAAAGATGACTATTTCAATTAAGCTCATATTTCAGTTAAGCTCTCCTATCTTCAGACTTTCTCCACCTGTATTTGTTTAAATACTCTTCTTCCACCCCAGTTTTGAATTTTTGACATGCTGGCTGTAACCTGAAGATTCTTGGGCTTTTGACTTCTAGGTAGTTTTGTGATTAGCTGGCTTGCACAAGCAGGAAAAATGAGTATAGAGTGTTTAAAGATTTCGACAGGTATAAAAGGTCACCTATTTGTTTATTGGCTTGAGCAACACTGAGAGCTGATGATGAGGTGTCTCTTGTGTATGAACCTAGCTGCTGCTGCCGGCACTGTTAAACTTGAGGCACCTTCAGAATTGTTAGCATTTATAAAATATTTACTGCAAATAAAAATAGGACTCAACAAGAGTTTCTAAAAATATTTGAAATATTTACATTTGTAATATTTCAAAACATATGTATAGTGTTTGTAAAAATAGTTAACATCTGTACAGTATAGTTTTACTTTTTTTGATTAAAGCCTGAATAGGAATAGATTTGGAATCTTAAGATGGGATGGTTTTTATGATAATAGCTTTCAGTTGGTGAACCCTCCCCAGCAACCTTCCTTGTTTCTTAGGGATCCTTTGTGCGATTTGTGTTTTTGTATCTAGGTAAGTGTGTACGAAAACCTGTTCCCATAGAAAAATATATATTTTAAGTTCTAGTGAAGTGAATTAGATGTTTCATTAATAAATTGGAAGTATGCAAGACCATAAGGACGGCACAGTGGAGCGTGTGAGAATGTGCAGAAATTTGCCTACTGTACAAAGGGAAAATGTACATTAATTGATCTTCCTGCTGCTTTTGCCTGTGGCCCTGCCCACCTCCACAAGCATGTGGTGTCCAGAAGGACATATGGCCACCGGGCTGATGTAGGACTTTGCAGGTCACAACCAGCACAGTATCCCTTGGTCAGTAGTCCAATAACCAGCACAGGACTTGGTCAATAGCAGGCATAGGCAAACTCGGCCAGCCAGATATTTTTGGGACTACAATTCCCATCATCCCTGGCCACTGGTCCTGTTAGCTAGGGATGATGGGAGTTGTAGTGCCAAAACATTTGGAGGGCCGAGTTTGCCTGTGCCTGGTCAATAGTCTCACCACAGCTCGTTCTATACTTTTGGCGCCTTATAACACAGAAAGTTTGTCTTCTTTTTCCACCATTCAGCACCGGCCAACTGTGAAGGAAGCCTAATGAAAGGAATTGGGGGAGGAATTCCTCAGATGCTCCCTAGTAATGACTCTCATCTGTTCACTTTTCTGAGCCTAGGAAGGCATCAGTTCTCTCCAAGCTTAGTGGATTCCCCTAAATTTGTGAAGAGTTATGAATAAGAGCTAACTTTGCAGCATTTTCTGATTTTGTAGTTAATGTTAGTGCCTTTAGAATGTTTTCCTTTCTCTTCTTTAGCTACGTTCCATCTTTCCTATGTTCACTCTCCGGTTTCAGCAACACACACGTAACATTATGATGTTACTGCGACGTATGACAGCATTCCTACGCATATATTCCTTCCACGTAGGAAGAAGTGTGAGCATTGCTTGTATAGGCCAGTGTGTTTTGGAAAGAGCTTTGGACTTGAACTGGAGGTCTTTGGCTTCAGATCCTCACTTAGTTGTGTTTGTATGCAAATCGTTGCTTGTAGCCTAACCTGCCTCACAAGCAGATGGAGTTGGTTTTTATTGGAGATTGTAAGCTGGGGAAATAATTCCATATTCCCTGTTGTAATATATTGTGCTTTGAGTACTGGGAAAATATGATATCTACAAAGACGAATTGGCTTCTTGAAGGGCATTTGAAAACCATACAATGAAGGAACAAAATGGCTCACTTGTTCTTCCACAAACAAACTCAGTCTGTCTGTGACTAAACAAGAAATCAGTGCTGTAAGGGTTTACAGTTGCTTCTGTGTGCAGACTGGCAGCAATGAATTGTCTCTATAATAATAAGTTGTTGTGGTCTACGTAGCTGCAGTTGCTTGGAATAAGGACTACAGAATATATTAAGTTCTGATGGAATGACTACCATAGATCTACAAATCCACTTATCCGTTCACCAGAGACGTGCATGTAGACATACTGGATACCCCTATAGTACATAATATTCTCCCTTGTTTTTACTTGCACAGAGCTTTAGGAAAAGGAGGAAGAGGTATGAACCTCTCATGCTCTATCTCACCTCCTTATTTCAGCATGTAACTCATTTCTCCTTCCTTCCTTCCTTCCTTCCTTCCTTCCTTCCTTCCTTCCTTCCTTCCTTCCTTCCTTTTATTTATTTTTTTTGTATTTTCAAAACTGGGCTTCCAGCCAGGATTTGTTATTTTTCTTAATTGAATCACTGTACAACAGCTCCTTATTCAAGGGCTTTATATATATATATTATCCTCATCACCACCACCCCAATCCATGTGTGCTTGGCAGAGGATTTGGAAAGGGTTTGGGATGTGGGTGACGCTGTGGTCTAAACCACAGAGCCTAGGACTTGGGCTTGCCGATCAGGTCGGCGGTTTGAATCCCTGTGCTGGGGTGAACTCCCGTTGCTCAGTCCCAGCTCCTGCCAACCTAGCAGTTCGAAAGCACGCCAAAAAGTGCAAGTAGATAAATAGGTACCGCTCCGGCAGGAAGGTAAACGGCGTTTCCGTGCACTGCTCTGGTTTCGGTGTTCTGTTGCACCAGAAGCAGCTTAGTCACGCTAGCCACATGACCTGGAAAAACTGTCTGCGGACAAACGCCGGCTCCCTCGGCCTGTAAAGCGAGATGAGCGCCACAACTCCAGAGTCCTCTGTGACTGGACTTAACTGTCAGGGGTCCTTTACCTTTGCCTTTACCTTTGGGAATGGAAACAAACACGGCTAGTAAGCCAAGCCAATATTTGTGAATCGTCGTTTGCCACCCAATTAAAAATGCATTAATCAGCAACTTTCACCAACCACTGGTCACTCAAAGAGCAATTGTAAAACTGCATACATTTGAATGAACTAATAAATTAAACAAGATCTTCATTTTCCAGTGGGAGTAGTGGCAAGTTTTGACAAGAGAGCTGTACCTTTGTTAGAAAAAAGGAGGACAGCCCGTTTAAAAACAACAACAGGGAACTTGGATTGACAACACTTGCTATTTTCCATGAGATTGCGCTTGGGCATTCCTCCGGACATCATTGCCAAGAAGCCTCTGTCAGTCAAAACGGAAAGGACTAAAGACTCCCTGGACAGTGTGCTAAGTGTGCACACAGCAGAATGCTTAATGTGGCATGCTTTGGCTGTCAAACAGCAATTTTACAATTCATTTGGAACCATCACTTTAGCCCCCGTGGCTATGATACCCAGGGGTCCCAGGCTTTCTTAAGGCCCATAGAAATGTAAAAGGGGACTTCTCGCTGCAAAAGTACAAAGCCTGCAGAGAGGAAATGAAAAGGGTGGTTTTGAAGCAAAGCACATAATACTGGATCCAAAAATAGTCTTTCTGGAATGTTGTTTCTCTGAAGAAGTGCTGAGCCATGTCCATAGAGACTTGCAAATGACAAGTTATCAATTTATTTAATTAAACCCAACCTTTCATGTTAAACGCCTTTGATGGGTCAATAATCCAGCTTCAGCCATCTTTATAGCTTCTCCCTTGAATTGGATAAGTCATTTTAAATCGGGCGTGGATTTAAAAATAATTTAAAGCAGGACTCTCTGAAAGATAGAAGCAATATCTTATGATTATAATTCTAAAGTCAACTTACTGAAGTTTATTCTGGGTGACTTGAATGTGTTGATTTCAATTTTTTCGTACATATAATAGTTTTGACTAAGCAGCAGCTCACATGCAAATATGAATGCTTCAGTATAATTTAAAGAAATGGGTTGGGTGGGTGGTGTTTCAAAAATACAACCCCCCCCCAAAGACTCAAGACTATTAGACACTTTAACAAAATAGATATGTTCAGTGGAGAAAATGAAGATGAAGTTAAAGTCAGTATTGTGTGAAATAGAATCACATGGAGAAAATTAAAAGGAAACATCCTGAACTATATAAGTTTAGGAGAAGAACCATTAGGAAAATTGGCATTGCACTGATGTTTTCGTTGACTGTGGGCTTTTATAAATTAAATTATCTGGCTCGGTGTCGATTTCTGAAGTAAAAGAATCTCCTCCTGATTAATGTGTATGTTAATTGCCTTTGGGAAAAAAAAATTTAACAGCACAATTAGGAAAATCTGATTGTCAGATTGTGAGCTAATGTACCCCAATGCATCTCTATAGAAGTAAATGAAGCAGTTACTAGTTATGTTTGTTTAACAGGAACCTACGCAGGGCAATATCCAGCTAAGTCATACTCTCAGCAGACCCATTGAAATCAAATGACTTAAGTGAGAATTGGTTATCGCACACAGTTTAAAATACAGAATAGCAAATTAACATCTTTATACTTTGGCTATGAAAGATTTCCCAGAAATTTAAATTGCACTGGACAAAGTCAACATAACTGAGGAGGCACACAGAAATTATGCTTTAAGAATGCAGGAGCAATTCCATGGCTTTGTAATGAGGCTATTACTTCGGTTCTGAGGTGAGCTCTTTTGGAAACAACACTTGTGCAGGTCTTCAATACGTGGTCTAGCTTGCACTGAGAAGATAAATATGTAACTGGAAGATGGTGGTGCCTGATGGACGGATGCTGTTCCTCCCACAATTTCCTGAGCAGTTTTGCAGCTCCCCGCCCTTTAAATGCTTGATAAATAAAATAAACCAAAGACGAAGCATAAATATGGCTCCCTAAAAATGTTAGAAGTGGGCATCTCACCTGAAGCATAGGAAGACTGATGACTGCACTGAGTTTGATTGACAGATAGTATTTCTTGTCATACAGACCGAGTCACAAGTGACTTCTTTTTAAGTACTGTATCTGCTTCTACCAGGCCAAGGCTGTGCTTTGTAAGTTTAGTTTACCTCTTCTGTGTCCTGCCGTGGTCTTCTAGAACAGTGCTGAACAACATACGTATGGTTTACTTTGAAGCAAGTTGAAGAAAAAGTCATTATTTTAAATCAAAACACTAACACATTTGTCTACTCACAATATTAACACATGGTGAGCAGGTGGAGTCCCACAAGGCTGTTCAGAGAAAGGAATTTACAAGGAATGCAGCTTTATTTTTCAGATTACTTCTATCTCCTTGGATGTCATACTAAACCATGGGGAACTTCAGACCTGGGAGCCGAATGGGGCCATCTCAGACTCTCTGTCTGGCCCTTGGGACTCTCTCCAACCACACCCCCTGTTGATCCTTAATTGCATACTGCTTGAATGGAGCCTTTTTTGTTTTTCATCAGAATATGTCAATAATAAAAAAAATAAAAAAAAAAATAATAAAAATTATTTATACCCCGCCCTCCCCAGCCAGAGCCAGACTCAGGGCGGCTAACAACAGTAAAATTACAGTAAAAACATAATGGGGGGGGGGGAACCAATTTAAAATACAGGTTAAAATGCAATTTAAAATTCAGCCTCATCAAAACCATAAGGGGAGGGAAACATAAGGGTCAGACTGAGTCCGAACCGAAGGCCAGGCGGAACAGCTCTGTCTTGCAGGCCCTGCAGAAAGATGTCAAGTCCCGCAGGGCCCTAGTCTCTTGTGTCAGAGCGTTCCACCAAGTCGGGGCTAGTACTGAAAAGGCCCTGGCCCTAGTTGCGACCAATGTGACCTGGGACCTTCAAAATGTTGTCATTTGTGGGCCTTAAGGTCCTCCGCGGGGCATACCAGGAGAGGCGGTCCCGTAAGTACGTGGGTCTTAGGCTGCTTGAATAATGTCCCTCGCTTCCCAGGATGAAGAATATTGAGGGCTGTGTTTAGAAACTAGCCTACTGTGCAAAGCTAACATTTACATTAATTGCTCCACCCACTTTTGCCCCTGGCCACATCCACCTTCAGAAGCTTGTGGCCTTCTGAAGGTTGCAGAGGACATTGCACAGATTGGTGCTGCCACCACTGTCATTTTAGTTCAACCATAGTCAAGAGCATAAGAAGTCCCTGGTGGGTCAGTCCAGTGACCCATCAAGTCCAGCATCCTATCCTATCATAGTGGTTGACCATATGCCTGCACTTAGCTAGTCCTCTCACTCATCTCTTACTTAATGTAAGTGTTAGGGGCAATAGGTCTGTTATGGAATGCCCTTCCTTCTAAAGCTTTCATTCTGATGCCAGCTCGAAACAGACTCATTTACTTAGGAATTTATAGGAGAGGGTTGGCTCAACTTCTGCTGAATGACAAAGCTTGCCTGTACCTCTTACAGATCAGGGGAACTTTTGCCTCCCTGGATGCTGCAACATCAGCTCCAACAAGCATGGCAAGTGGGCAGGATGATGTGAGTTGTAATAATAATAATAATAATAATAATAATAATAATAATAATAATTATACCCCGCCCATCTGGCTGGATTTCCACAGCCACTCTTGGCAGCTCCCAACAGAATGTTAAAAACACGGTAAAACATCAAACATTAAAAACTTCCCTAAACAGGGCTGCCTTCAAATGTCTTCTAAAAGTCAAATAGTTGTTTATTTCCTTGACATCTGATGGGAGGGTGTTCCACAGGGCGGGTGCCACCACCGAGAAGGCCCTCTGCCTGTAGTTCAGCAACATCTGGGGAGCCAACAGTTCCCTGCACTTGGTATGCCATTTACTGTGTTTTTACACCTGCTGATGTGGTATGGTGGCATTGAACTAAGGTATTTATTGTTTTATGTCGGTTATTTTACTGTGTTTGTACTCCCACCTTGGGATAAATTTCCAGTGAAGTAAATCTGTATGTGAATCTGCATACAGGCAGGTAAAGCTTCTGACCCAAGTTGTTTGAGTTTGCTTGTTTGGATTCTCATGCGTTCTCTTCTAATTTCAGAACAATACTGTAAGCATGCCCCATCCCCACCCCTTGCTAGTTACCATCAAAATGAAGTGTGGTTTGTACAGTCTCTACGATAGACCCTTCATTTAGTTTTGCAGATAAAAGCATTAAAACAAGCTGGCCAGCAGGTGTCAGGTGCAGTTAAATGCTTCGGGCAAAGATTCTGCTCAGATACTATAGGGCATACCTCAACTTAAATCCTGCTGGCCAGTAGTTAGAGAGAGATCCGTACATACAGGGAAAGGGCATATTCAGTCTGAAGTCTGCTGTGTTGGCTTCATGAGCAGAATGGTGTGCATTTCGTTTTTTAAAAATTATTTCATTCACATTTTTGCCTTACTACCATCATTTGGGACATGAATTGTTTTTGTTTCTAAGTTCCACATTGCTTGGTGATAGTTTTGTGCAGCTGAGTACAAAACTGAAAATAGGCAAGATAGCAACAGGAATTGCAGTATTTCACAGTGAACATTAATGGATGAGTCACTTCATTAAGTGGCAATTTTGTCTTAAGTCATTGTGCCCTAAAAAGAGAGAGAGAGAGACAGAGAGACAGAGCTAAGAAAAATTATAGTCATTTGCGGATTTCCTAAACATTAATATTCTATCCCTGCATCATTGCTGCTGTTAATTGATCACCCTTTATCAGATTTCTCACTCAAGAAAGGAAAGCTTATGAAGTTAAATCTGTATTGGTGGAGAACATGGAAAAGCTTTGAGCACAGTATGTTTTTGAGTATTTCGATGTTTGGGGTGTTTTGTACTTGATAAAAGCAGTATCACAATTGTCATAGTCAACCAAATCCTGTTCCTACATGCATGGAATTATCATTTTTAAAATGAATTATTTTGTACTATTTTTGATAGGCTATTTTGCAGTATTCTTGTTAATTTTTTTTGTTAACAAATTCTTGTTAATTTCTTGTTAACTTTTTCTTTTTTTGAATGGCCCATTTTGATTCCATTGTCATGAGATCATTTTGGAATGGTGAATGTTTTATGTAAATACTCCCTCACCTGGTAAGATCTGGTAATTTCCACATCAGCGTGCACTTAGTTCTAGAATATTACAGTGGTACCTCGGTTTACGAACTTAATCCGTTTCGGAAGTCTGTTCTTAAACCAAAGCCATTTTTAAACCGAGGCACGCTTTCCCTAATGAGGCCTCCTGCCGCCGGTGCCCTTCGGCTTCCATTCATAGACCAAGGTATAGCTAACCGGAAAACTACTTCCGCTTTTGCGGAGTTCTTATACCGAATAGTTCGTAAACAGGGCTGTTCTTAAACCGAAGTACCGCTGCATAATGAATGAGTGATGAGCCACCATGGCTTTTTGCTCCTTAGCGCGTCCCTAAGGATGTGTTCCTGCCCAGATTGAAACATAAAATGGAAGAAAGAATTAAAAACATAGAACGGTCCCTAAGGGAATTTGACACCGAGAGCAGCTGAGGTGTCATCATGGAGACGTATGAAATTCAAAATTAGAGGGTTTCTTCCCCCCTTCTGTGTTCAGTTTATGTATGTTGCAGTGATAGTTCAGGTAGGTCCAGAGGAGCAAAAAGTAGACTGCCCTTGACTAGGGCTGGGTGAAATCAGCTTTTCAACATCGCGTTATATCACCAGCCAAACATCGCGGTTTGGTGATATACCACGATGTTGAAAAAACAAGCTGCGTTGGCCTCAGCCTGCAAGGTGCTGGGTGAAATTGTTGCAGCTCTCACCCTGATGCAGTTTCACCCCAGCACCTAGCGGCTTGTTGAGCCATCACCGGTGCTCCCCTCCCCCACTTGCGCAGGAGCCAGTGCCAGGCTGGGGGATCCTTTAACTGCTTAGCTGAGGGGAGCGGCAACCACACACTCCTCAGCCGAGCACCTTAAAGATGCAGAGGGACAAACAAGCTGTATTGGTGCCTCGCCGGTGCAGCTGTTTTCTCCCTCTTCGCAGTGTGAGGGCAGAGTGGGATGGCGGATCCCCTCAGCGATATATCGCTGGTGAAATCGCCACTGCCCCTGAGTCCCTCTGCTAGCAATGCTTGCTGGATGAACTCTCTGGTTTCACCAGTGATATACAGTGGTACCTCGGGTTAAGTACTTAATTCGTTCCGGAGGTCCGTTCTTAACCTGAAGCACCACTTTAGCTAATGGGGCCTCCTGCTGCTGCTGCACCGCCAGAGCACAATTTCTGTCCTCATCCTGAAGCAAAGTTCTTAACCCGAGGTAATATTTCTGGGTTAGCAGAGTCTGTAACCTGAAGCGTCTGTAACCTGAAGCATCTGTAACCCGAGGTACCACTGTACCACTGAGTGAAGCCGACATTGCAGTCTGCTCCTCATACTGGTCCTGGGCCTACCCTTGACATACATCAGATGTGATGCTCTAGCCAGGGTCACCTCATGAAAAAGTGCTATGGCCCATCAGCCTCTGTGTGGGCCTCTCAACAGTGATACCCCTCCTGGACCCCTTTGAGGGTGCCTAGTTGCTAAAGATCCAAACCCATTATCTTACCTGCCACCTAAGCCTGCCTTCCCCGGCCACCTTGCCACCAAGCCACTCTCATCTGCAACCAATACCTGAGGGCTAAGCGCTGGCACACCACCAACCCTTGAAGTAAACCCCGAAACCACAGCTGCTGGATGCGTCTGACTGTACCTGGAAATCCTGCCACTTGACCTGCCAAGACACACAGTTGTCTCTTGTGCATTGCAGATTTTGGGTGAGATATTTATTGAGACCTTTTACAGGAGCCATATCACATTCCGATGGGTGCACTGTTGCCCACAGGTACCATTTTGGGAACCCCTGGTTCATAACTAAGGCTGCATTGAGACTCCTTAGGTTGTAGCTGATCCAGATTATTTTATATATATATAGAGAGAGAGAGAGAGAGGGAGAGCCACTGACAGTAGTGAGAGTCCTTAACCGGTTTCAGTGTTCTATCAGTATTTCCATACATTATTCCAACATTTCTGGTAAATGTTACTTATAAATAAAGCACATTGTCACAATATAATTCTTGAAATATTAAACAGTTGACAGCAGTGAGAATTGTTAATGCATCAAAGATGCGATGCTGTCAAAAATATGCAAAAATACCGTCAAGAATAAATAATATAGTGGAGGAGGAATCCATTAGAATTGCTGTCTCCAAAATACTTATTTATAGTTGCAATCTATGCAGCTGATAAGCATTACAAGCCGGTAGAGGCTTTTGAAAACAACTGCTGTATTGCAGTGCTCCACAGTATATAAGTAAGAAGAAGAAAGCTTTTGCGAAGCATTTGATTTCTCCATCCTTATATTAACCTCATATGGGTGCATGTGATTTTGTATGAGAGATTGAGATTTTAATCCTGTATACGCTTAACTGGGAGCAAGCACCATTGGCGTAACATTATTATTATTATTATTATCATTATCATTATCTTACTTTTGAGTAGACATGCCTAGGATTGTACGGCCAATGAATGTGCATTTAATGAAGGCTTCATTTATTTGTTGCATGCTATCTGCTAAATTCCACTTTATCATTCTCTGGTTATTCCTGTCATACTGCTATTTCAGACATGGTGACAAAAAAAGCTATTCATTTTCAAAAGGTCAGTTTCTCTTGTGCTACCAATGACAAGCAGATAATTCCAGTAAGATATCTTTTAGTGTTTGTGACTGGAAGAAAAAGAATGATGCCAGCTATATAATGTGGTTGCAGCACAGGAGGCAACAAATAGATAAACCATTTTTCAAAATCTGGTGTGTCTGTGTGTTGTGGATGTGTTTGGTGTATTAAAAAGTAGTGTGTTTCTCAACACGTTTGAGCCATTTTGAGTAGAAACTTACTCTAGAGAAAATACACAAAGAAGTAGAAACTTTAGAGAAAAATGCACAACATGAACACTCACTTGCAAGCTCATTTTGAATGGTCTTGAATAAACACTTGGATGCTTGTTTATACATTTATACACAAAAAGCTTTCATGTATTACTATACAGTGCATGTATATATACATTATATGGACTCTAATAAGTTGCATGTCTCCTAGCCAGGACTCTGTTAAAGCTGTCATCTGATAATCAGTTTTATACATCTTTCTGTTGCATTTGATGCATTACTTATGATTTGTCTCCTGAAACTTCCTGTATTCTTCTTTCCTGTATTCTTTCTTTCTATTTCTGCATCTGCCGAAATAATGCCAGATGCAGTATGACTTGCTAAAATTAGCAATTGCTTGCTGTAAACAATTTTAATGCAAATCTACATAATTTAGGTAATACATAATTTTTATTTTCTCATCCGCACGAGGCAGATTCTTAGTGTCAGTGGGCTGACGGATGTTTTGTGTTGAAGTTCTTATCAAGAAATGAAGTACTCACCTTAATGAGCTCTTCCCTGCTGAAATAAATAAATTTGATACTTGAAAGCAGGAGGAACTACTATGAAAATAACCGGGAGACATCTGGCTTGTGTTATTAACTCGTTGCGAAATTTGTAAGGGAGGGGAATAGACAGTGCTAATCTTCTGGGAAAACTTTTTGATAGACAGAGGTAAATAACAGGGGAAGAGTTCCCTAAAAAGGAGATTTGGTGCTCTGTACTGTTGAATCTGTGTAAACCTCGTCTACGCATACATTCCTTGAAGACTCATGCTGTCACTGTCAGTGTGACAAAACTGGCATTAGACTGAAAATAATGACAACTGTTAAGAGACTATTCTCCAGGGAACAATGGTTTTCAATGAACTCACCAGCAGGCATCCATCAAAAGTGTGTAAGTAATAATTCTGCTGCTGTAATTGTTACAATGGAATCATTGTCCCTTAGAAGTATTGTAAGAATTCAATACGTACAGTATTTTCAGTATTATTGTATTTCATCCTATATATACTTTAAATTTTATCTGTTATAATTCCCACCCCACACAATTTCTTAAGTTTTTTTTTATCAATTGGGGTGTGTGTGTGTGTGTGTGTGTGTGTGTGTATTAATCTGATGTCACTTGCCATACATGTCCTGTATTCCTAGAAATATTTCACCAATATTAATCTACAGAGATGAAAATAGCTGTAATAACCACTAAAGTATATTCAATACCAGATCTTAAATTGTAGATAGGTAAAAGACTGTTTTCTCCACGTGCCCAGTATTTGCAAGAGAATGCAGTGCTGATGTACCGTGAAACGTGTTTAGATGACAAATTTCTGGATATGATGCAGTCCAGCTTACAATTTGAATGTGTTATTTTGCTTGTGGTCTTGGTCAAGAATATGTAAAGTCTATAAGGGGAAATTATATGCTTTGATCCTATTGAATCATTTAGAATTCTTGTTGGCTGCTGGTAATATGAAAAATAGACTCAAGTATTTTTCTGCCCAACTGCTTTTACCAGTCTATGCTTTTCAGATACCAATTCATACACGGAGCTCTTTATTTGTGTACTTGTAAAACAGTAATGTATTATGTAGTAAATGTGTTTGCAAACATATGTCGTATATGAGTATTTGGGCTTAAGATGCATCTTCACCTTAAGTCTTTTTGTAAGTTAGTACGATGTAATACTTGAAAGCAGCTAATTACTGCATTTCTTTCATTTCTTTGTCTCCTTCCCTTTCCCCCCTTTTTTGAATTTCCTCATTTTCTTATGCTTCCCAGCTTCCCCTTTTGCTATTCCTTTGTTTGTGTGGTTTTAAATTTATAATATTTCTATCCTGCCTTCTCATTTCAATGAAGCTGAGAAGGACTCTCTTACTCTTTGCACCCACACCCAATAAAAAGACCACAAAAGCACAAGATATAACACTTAAAACTGACAAGCCAAAAGTCATATAAAGCAACAATCAATAGGGAGCAAAAAGGCAATTAAAAGGGTCTCAAGCATTAAGCCATCTAAGGCCCAAGAGAATGGGACAGGCTATGCTTGATGTGTCAAAGAGAATGAGAAGGCACCAAACACACACCTACAGGGAGTGGGTTTTGACCTTGCCGCTAGGAAGCCCCCCCTCCAGTAGCCACATACCTAACCTCTGAAATCAGCGGTCACCCGCAGAAGGGCCATCAAATTAGGTATCATATGGCAGGCAGGTCCTTTAAATACTCTTACCAACAAAGTAAGAGCAAAAAGAGCTTCGGTCAGCTGTAAGGGAAGCAGTCAGTCTCAAGCAAATTTTTCCCTCAAGAAGCTTCAGAAGAAATTTCACCCAAGAAAGGTAATAGCTCAAAATGTATTGAGAATGAATTCACTCTGGCAGCTAGCTTTTCCTCTTTGTTTCTGACTACCCTATATCACAAAATCAGCAGCACAAGGTGTTGTTATATGGTATAGTGGTACTTAATTCATTCCGGAGGTCCGTTTTTGACCTGAAACTGTTCTTAACCTGAAGCACCACTTTAGCTAATGGGGCCTCCCACTGCCGCTGTGCTGCTGCCGCACAATTTCTGTTCTCATCCTGAAGCAAAGTTCTTAACCCGAGGTACTATTTCTGGGTTAGTGGAGTCTGTAACCTGAAGCGTCTGTAACCTGAAGTGCATGTAACCCGAGGTACCACTGTATATAGAAACCATTAGTGAGGATAAGGTGGCAGTCTGTGGAACACTACATTTTGCTCTGTAACTATTTCAGAGTGATCAGAAGAAGAAGCGACCTGCATGAGAGGCAGGCCAGAGTGGTTTTTTTCTGGGCTCTCCCAGGTGAGAACTGGGAAGATTCACTTCTCTATACGTGGATTGAAAATTAAGATACATCTTTATCTTTCTTTTTTTCTCTTCTCTTTCCCTCCTTTACTCTGATTTTTCTGTTTTTAATATTATTATTATTATTATTATTATTGGACTGGTTGGGTTTTTATTGTATCACATGTTGAAAACTCTTCATAAATTCATATAAAGTAAATAAATATTCCAGGGTGATGCTAATGCATCCGCACAATACAACAAAACTCCTGTTGTGTTCCAGCCACATTTTTATTTCCTGCTCGGATAGGGTTTAGCTCATTAAAACGGGTGGCGCTGTGGTCTAAACCACTGAGCCTCTTGGGCTTACCAATCAGAAGGTCGATGGTTTGAATCCCTGCAACGGAGTGAGCTCCCGTTGCTCTGTCCCAGCTCCTGCCAACCTAGCAGTTTGAAAGCATGCCAGTAAATAGGTACCGCTGCGGTGGGAAGGTAAACAGCGTTTCCGTGCGCTCTGGTTTCTGTTCATGGTGTTAGTACTAGTTCTGATGTGTTAGTACTTGCAGTCGATCAATAGAGCTCCCCCCTCTCCGGCCCTATTTTTCTTCTTATTAATTCTTTCCTTTCTCTGTTTCCCTTCGATTATTAAGTATTCTGTGAGCCACGTGATCGTTTTCCTTTTCATTTCATTTGGCAAATGTCATGACCTGGGATTAAAGTCATCCCCATAAACTGATTTCTCTTATTCTGATGCTTTTGTCTACGAGCCAGTTCAAATGTGCAGGTCTCTCAACTTTATTGTACCACCTCAAAATTCAGATGGTGTTTTCTTGTTTCAAAGCACACACCCTCTATAAACACCTACCTGCAAGTTGAAAAGAAATCCTGGTCATCAGGGGGTAGAATGTTAACATAGCTGCTTTGACTTGTAAACTTTTTTCTGCTGAAAGA